CGGCAGCATTACCATCGGGGGATGGTCGTCGTTCAGGGACATCGAAGGCAACAGCTTTGCCTTTACCATTAGTGTTAGTGGGAGCATGGATAGAAGCGTCAACAGTTTCTACAAGAGTAGTAGTATTAAGAGGAGGGGTGATCACTTGGACTTTGTTGACAGGAAGACCAGAAGGGACGGTAGAAATAAGGTTGGGAGCAGAAGCAGAAGGTGAAGTTATATCAACATTCATAGCTTCATCAGTTGCAATACGTGAATGTTTATTAGGCGCGCCAACGGTAGTCGTAGGAGACAAAGGTCGGTCTCCGGAGGGAGTAGAAGTAATAGGATGCGGTGGCGGCGGAATATCCGGGTTAATAACAGAAGGAGCTGGAGGTGTAGACATAGTAGAAGCTCAGTAAAGAGGAAGGCAACTGAAGAAATATTAGTATTTAGAACGAGCACTTAGAAATTTTCGGATGAAAATTTCAAAAATAAATTTTTATTAGTATTTTCAAAAATTCAGAAAAGAGTTGCGATATATTTGGTGATTATTTTACAAGTGTTTTGTAAGTTTAGTGGCCACTACTTTTTGCACCCTCTATTGAAGGCTATGGAGGTAGGTCGTTCATTGCATCATCCTCACTAAGCCATGATGTAACCATCCCCGCCACCTTTTAACAGGGACAATTCAACACCACAACCAGAACGTAAGGACTTATCCCAGGGACCCGAAGGCCTTTGAATCTGCTGAACACCACCCTACTCGTCCTTTAATCCGTTGCATGATACTGTAATGGCTACTATTATAAACCCCTCACCACTACTACTGTCATGGAGGACTTTCGTCAGATAACTTTCAAACATCTAGACATCTTCCATACCACCATATTAGGTACTAGGTCTCACTTAAAGGCCACTACAGCCTGCGATTACCCACCACCGATAGTACAGTTGTAATTCCCAAGTGGTATACTTTGTAGTGACCATTTGAACAGTAAGCTTGTAGGTGTTACCCAGGATCATCCCTTATGGTGGGTATCAACCACCAGGAATCACCAACCAGGGCCCATCAGAGAAGGGAATCGAACCAAATCACCAAGCTATCTGTTCTGTGCAAGAACACCGTGGTTGGTCTAAGACCTAACAGAAGGTCAAACTACCACTAAGACATTGCACCCTCAGCTTTACCATCTAGGACGACCATCTAGCCATTTCTGATCCCAAGCGGTATCGTGGAGTGACCACCCGGACAGGAAGTCCCCCCAAGGTATAGCGCACATACCAATGGCCTCATAGGGAACGTTAGAAGGACACCATAACCCTTAATTGAAATGTGCGGCCTAACCGTACACACTAATTCACCATGATGCAGTCAACAGGGCGGACATGCATTATATCACAATATCGATCACTTGCCGATCATGATATAAGTGATATCACGTTAAATTTGAAGCTTTATTCCAAGCAATAAATGTTCTGACAATTTATGTTAAATTATTTTATTTAATAGTTTCATTTATCAATAAATTAATATACTAGTATTGTGGCAAAATAAGGCTGTCTCTTATACACATCTAGATGTGTATAAGAGACAGGATGAGGTCTGTGTGGAGGTTGAGCAGAACCAGAAGAATTATCATTGTTCCTGGAATTATTATTATTGTTGGTTCTGTTGTTACTTCGTGAAGTGTTGGGACGAGAAGTGTTATTAATATTGTTGTTGTTGGAACGGAATGAAGAGGAATTATTATTGCGGGATCTAGAGTTGGAACGCGATCTTGAACGGGAATTGGAATTGTCACGTGATTGGCGCGAATCCTGACGACCACGTCTAGGTCCAGCATTGAAACGCGAATAAAGCTTGTTGANTCTTTATGAATTATTTTAAGAACTAATTTATTAACAATAAATAAAATAAAGTAAATAAAATCGAAATTTTTTACATTATTATGTAGAATTTGTGAAAAAATTAATTCAATGGTATTTTTTTATGTGATAATATTGGACAAGTGATCGGTAAAATGATCAGCAATTTCGTGATAATATGGGGATGTCCGCCCTGTTGATGCAGTCCAACTACACTAATCCCTGTACCTTCACGCTATTGGTTGTAGCGTTCACAGTAAAATTCTTTTTATTTCCGTGGTCATGGGAATCGAACCTGCGACCTCACCATACTCAGGCTTAATGAGGGTCTCAGTGACTAACCACTAAGATAGGGTGACCAACCCTATATTTGGTGATTATAAAGAGATGTGACTATATAAAAAATTTCTTATATTTATATATCATAATTCCGGCCAAAAATTAACATAATTTTAGCCAGAATTATACTTAAAACTTTATTGTATCGTAACTTCACCAATATTAATCGTAGAGAGATGATCTTACAGCCATTCGATTCGTCTTGATGAGACGGTTCTAATGGTATAAAATATGTCGAAATCCAATCACTAGATTAATTTCCGAAATTAAAAAAATATTAATGGTTTTTGTGTAATAACTCTGCCAATATTGATCCTAGAAAGACGATCTTACTACCATTCGATTCGTCTTGATGAGACGAATCTAATGGTATAAGATACATCGAAATCCAATCACTAGATCAATTTCCGAAATTAAAAAATATTAAATGGTTTTTAAGTAATAACTCCGTCAATATTGATCACAGAGAGATGAGCTTACCACCATTCGATTCGTCTCGATGAGGCGATTCCAACGAGCTATAAATCGTCTTTTTACAATCACTAGGTACCGAGAAATCTAGCAAAATGTTAAATGGCGCAGTAAACGTAAATCAAGAAATATTATAATGCCGATGTTTAACATTTTGTTGAATAACTAAAGAAGTGCCACCTATCAAAAAGCGAGCTTATAGGACAGCACCAAAGGAAAATGAATTTATTGAGAGTGAAATTAATGACATGTTAAAACAAGGGCTAATAGAACCATTAACCAATTCATAGTCATTTCTAGTAGTGTTAGTGAAAAAGAAGAATGGAAAACTTAGGTTTTGCGTTAATTATAAATCTCTTAACGATATTATGAAAAAAGATAATTACCCACTTCCAAGAATTAATGAATTATTAGATTCTCTACAAGATGCACAATGGTTCACCACTTTAGATTTAGCATCAGGGTATTGGCAAATAAAAGTAAGAGCAGAAGATCAGAAAAAAACAACCTTTATTACAAAATTTAGAACATACGAATTCAAAGTCATGCCTTTTAGACTTTGTAACGCACCTGTGACGTTTCAGCGAACTATGGACAAAGTTTTACATGGGATAAAGGAAAAGTTCATTTTAGTTTATTTTGATGATGACATTATATATTCAAAAACTTTCAAAGATCATATTCAACATTTGGAAGAAGTTCTAAATAGAATTCGTAAGGCGAATTTAAGATTAAAAGCAGAAAAATGTCATTTTGCAGCAGCTGAACTTCAATTTTTAGGACATGTTGTAGGGAAAGAAGGTGTTAAACTTGATCCAGAAAAAGTCAATAAAATGGTTAATTACCCAGAACCTCAAAATATTAGAGAATTACGTGGAGTTCTAGGATTATTCTTTTATTATCAATGCTTTATCAAAGATTTTGCTAAAGTTGCTGATCCAATGTACAAGTTATTAAAAATGGATGCACCTTATGAATGGATGAATTTACAGCAGAAAGCATTTGAGAATTTAAGAGATAAATTAACAACAGCACCAATCATACAATATCCAGATTTTTCAAATTCTTTCTTTTTATATACTGATGCTTCAACTATAGGACTAGGCGCAGTACTTGCACAAAAAAATGATGATCAAGAGCATGTGATTGCCTATGCTAGTCGAACTTTAATACTAGCGGAAAAGAATTATGCCATCACAGAACTGGAATGCCTTGTGATTGTATGGGCAGTTAAATATTTTTGACATTATCTTTATGGAAGTAAATTCATCATCATTACCAACCATGCAGCACTCAAGTGGTTACTAAATTCAACAACGGAAAATAATAATAAAAGATTGGAAAGATGGAAGATTGCCTTTAATAATAGCCCGAAATTAGTGTGAATAGATGCATCTATTACACTAAAGGTTGCAGAGATAGTTGTAAAACAAAGAAAATTCCAGATCTTCGTTGAAAATCCACTACTGATCACGAATTAAGATTTCGTCCTTAATTGCCTTACATTAGTGTGTGTATGATCAAACTATCAGTATATATAAAATAATTCTTATAAATTCGTTCATTACTACTTTGCTATCTATATGTGAAGAGTTAATCAAAGCAAGATTTTTTATTTGCAATACATTGGATAAATTACAAATTAGTGACTTTGCTTATTATACAGTTAAAAGGCGCTTTATACATGATAGACTAGTCTGTTCATTGCGTCTATTCTATCCACCACCCAATAATCCACTATATTCATTGTTTTTCATCCTAACCTCCATTTTATCGGTCATAATGCTAACAAGAACCTTGAAAGGGAAACTATATATTAGTTACAAGTGCCAATATCTGAAAGTAAACACTTATCCTTAATTGTCTAATGTTTCGTCTGATGCTTTGCTAATTAACTTTTGTTTCGCTAGCACTTTCACTGAGATTACAGTGAGTATGCATGTTCTATTTGCTTATTTACATAGTTGCAAGATTCATATTTGCGGATTGTGAAATTTCATTTACCTCAGGAAAGGAAAAAATTTTTTTGACAACTCGTATGTTGCACAGCCCCTATTCTTTGGCATTTCAGGTGATCGGGTTCACATGACCATTCTATGTTACAATTGTGAACTTGAGTTTATTGCTTGAAGTGTTGCAGGTAAGACAATATTTCAACTTATCTTAAGAATAGAATTTCGCTAATTTAGGATCATAAGAGAGCTGATTCCTATTTTCGCAGTACCATGAGTCATGTAATCCATAATTTCCATGTATTCCATCGCAAATAGGACATGGTGAGCTCTACGGCTGAGGTGATGTAAAATCATAAATTCATAATTATCAATCCCTCTGAAATTATTTCAGAATTTCAAGTATGGGAAGTGCTCTAAGATGGATTTGATAATTGATTCTAAATCGGGTTTGGCTTTAAAAGTAATAAGTTTGAAATCAGAGGCTTGAGGTAGTCCCAGCCGAAGGCGCTCAGGGCAAGGGACTGGTTCTACTGACATATCTATCACAGCTTCCAATAATTGCCATGGCTCATTTCCAGTTTGTTTTTTATATCTTTTGTATAATTTGGAACGAATCTTATCCATCAAAATGCTTGGTAACCCACTTAATTTGGCATATCAGTCTAGATATTCGGGGGTTAGTATTTTTATCAGACTCAGTCATTTTCCTTTTTATATGTCTGCAAACAATTTAAATCCCTTTTTCTCATATAGACCTATTCATTCGAAAAAAAAGATTAAAATTCCCAGACTATTGTAAAGCAATAAGACTATGCAACTATCTCAATTTCGCACTGTTCACATCTAATAAAATAGGATCCTGCTTTATACCTACCTTCTATTTCTTCATCATCATGGCCTAATTTGCATAATAGGCAGATATAGTCTCCACATGTTGTCTCATCAGTAATCCCATAATAGTCAAAATTTTCAATACTACATTCTCTATATAGATTAGGATATTGATCCAATATTTTGTTGCGAAAATAGGTGCAGTTATAGGTTGGATTAGATTGACCGGAAGAAGATACATTTGCCGATGTACTTACTTCAACTGAATCCAAGTATTTCTCTTGCACCTCTAATGCATTAGTTTGATTGGTTTTCAAAGTTTGAGAAGTGGGCAGAGTGCTTATCTTAACATCTGGTAATTTTTTTGGGACAGACCCTTGGCTTTTCTCAAGTAGGATTTTAGGACTCACTTTTTCTATATCTTTGCATTCAGAGTATGAGTTAGGTTTTTTTATTTCCGTATCAGCATAGCAAGATCCACCGAAATAATTCAGAATAATTTGGATTTGAGGCTTAGTAAACTTTGAAATAGAATCCGCACTGTAAGATTTGATATTCTTAATTCTATCTACTCCTATCTTTTCGAATAGTTTGTAAATCTTTATGGCCCTTTGGGTTCTTTTACGTTGTGACACACTGCCCATAGGATATTAAAATAAAATATCGTATGTTGCCACTGACGTGTTGAGTTCAAACAATATTTATGCTTGGTTTAAAATAAAAATTAGTTACAAAAATTACAAAACATTATTTTCTTACCAAATATTATTTTAAAATATCGAACTTAATAATATAATATTAATTAATTCTTAAGCGTACAATGAGCATATTCATATTTGAATAACTTTTTAATAATTAATATTTTAATATTATTTTATTTGAGCCAAGAATTGACTGTGGAATTTCCTATCGAAATCCACTTGTATTTATACATTTTTAAGAAAAATATTTCTCATATTTACTATCTTTTCTAATAAAATTTGAAAATCTATTATCATATAACTATCTCATTACACTAAACTAAACTATAAATATAATTTTATTGGCTAATTATTTACCCATCGGTTAATTATTTATCCATCGGCTAATTATTTATCCTTATTCTATTTTATTATATTTTCGGTTATTACAACATAAGGTTTCCAGTGTTATTCCAGAAAGATGTTTTATTATATCCTGGAATAATTGTTTTCTTGCTGTCTGATCTGAAACATTATCTCTGGCAATAATTTCTTGAACACTTTCTTCGAACCTTTTTCCATATGAGTAGCAACATGAAATCTCTTTTTGTCTCTAGCTTAAGTAGTGTTCTTTCCTTCAATACTTACTTCTAGAAATAGATGAGCAAGCTCAACTTCTATTATCATGTCAGTTGTAAGCTCCTGATTTCCATCAATAACTTGGACATCATCTTCATCTATCAATTCTGAAGACACTTTTTGTATAAAATCTTGGGTTACTATATAGGGATTGGAACCGTCTAAAAAAACCTTAACCGGTTAAAAACCGGTTAACCAAGGATCTTAACCGGTTAATAACCGGTTAATATTAAAAATATTTTAAAAACTTTTTTTACTGCAAATTGTACCAATTTTTTATTTTACTTGCATATTTAGTTATAGGAAGACTATATATCACTAAAATTATTATAAATAAATAGAAAAAAATTCGGCATCAAAACTTCAAGTTTTAGGAACGCGTGGCTGCAATTTACATGTCTCTGGGCCGCATTATATAAATCTGACTAGAATTATGGTAAATATAGTTTTAACTGGTTAACCGATTTTCAAAATCCTTTAACCGGTTAATATTAACCAGTTCCAATCCCTACTACTATATAATCATGGAAAACTTTTGTATTCTTGGATAGTACTTGAGCTTCTCCTGTTCTGCAAACACTCAATTTGATTGATGATTGCGAACTGCTTGTATTGGTTTCAGTTTCCACAGAATCTTCTAGGGGCATAGAGGAATTATTCTGGAAAATTGAGAGCTTATCCTGATCTTGGCTTGAATATGTTGATCCACGCAAAAGTTTTTTCTCTCTATTGCGTTGTCTCATCATATCACTAACCTCCTTCTTACTTACCGAAATCAGGAATTCATCGGTCTGTCTATCCTCCAATAATTTAGACCCTGCATGAGTGGTTTGAGTTACATTGGAGCTATTCTCAGAGTTACCCTCAATAGGTGGTGAAATGGATGATTGGGAAGTCACCTGTAATTCTGAACAAGTGGAAGATTTCACCACAGATGTCCCGTCTTGCACTAAAACATTAATAGCAATTTGCTCCTGTTTGATTTTCCTGATATCACAATTTAGTTCTGCAATGAGCTCAGCCTTTTCTTTATCACTCTGCTCTAGTTTTACGAATCTGGCTTCATTCTCTTCTATAGCCTGCCTTAATTTAGCATTTTTGGCTTTAACCTTGGCATTTTCAGCCTTAATCTTGGCATTCTCAGCTAGGAGCTTGATGATACGTTATTTCAATGAATCAAGCATGTTCGATAATAACTTTCATATAGGATGCGATCTATTTAAAATGCATTTTACCCAAGTGGGACTTCAGGTCTCACTTTTTTTATTCACCACACGTCTCCATATCCCGTGAAAAATATATTTGATACAATGTATTTCGGTTTGAATTCTTTATTGATACAGTAAATAAATTACATGATTCGATGATACATAGACTTGTTTTACAATGTGAAATGGTGGGCGTTTCTGTACTAATGCCTACAGACCACACCAGTGTTTCGTTCATCTAAACTATCTATACTAACATAATATCCCAACATTAACTCTAATCCGATTTCATTTACCCCAACGTCAATATTCTGGATAGAATAAAATGGTCGTCAATTATGCATAGAATACGTGGAGTCAGAAATAAATTAGCAATATTAAAACTCACCAAAAGTTTATGTTCTCTACCTAATAAGGTCCCCAAAGTTCTGAACAAAAAAATAGATATTGGCTTTGCAAGCTTCCTAGTCATAACCGAAATATTCATATCTGTCTTGTCCGGAACATTAGTTTCGCCGATCAGGAATTATTTTGATTGGCACTCTCATGTGACATTGTGTCATTGTGATAAATTTTTTTCGTAATTTTGTATTTGGTCCTTGACGTAGTATTACTGACTCTGTTCGTAGTATTACTGACTCTGTTCGTAGTATTACTGACTCACAGTTCGTAGTAATTAGTCAACAGCCGTTTATGGAAATATATATATATATGACATATAATCAAAATGTCAAGCTATTCTTCGCTATTTCGAGTACCTTCGCCATTCCGGGTACAAACTAAATTCGAGGAAAATTCCCTACCTGCCAGTCCAACGTTAAA